AACCCTAAATCCCAAACCCATAGACTCTGAGACTACAAGTCCCCCACCTGGCAAAGCAAACCATGAGGATGCTTCATCAGTGCATAGCTCACACCTTAAGGGTTTACTTGGGTTTAGGGTTTAGGGTTTAGGGTTTTGGGTTGTGGGTTCAGGGTTTTGGGTTTAGGGTTTAGGGTTTAGGGTCGGTGGGACTTAGTCAGGTAGGTTAATATCAGGGATGACAGTGTTGATTATGCGGCTTATGGGGGGGGTTATATGTATACTTATTTCTATTTCCTGACCCTCCAAGTAGGTCTTAGGATTCAATGCGGAGATGTCTGAGGCGTTACTCGGAGCAGTTGCGTGACCCTGGAGTTAAACGATGCAATATGTCCCCTTGTTTAATCCCACTGTAACCCAATCGCAGCCCTTTATACGTGGGTTCCCGAACCTATGAGCCCCCCAGGTCCTCCAAGGTGTTATATAAGTTTTCAAGCACCTGTTCTGGTCGAGACTCTAAAGTTTTTCTTGACCCCCGAAATATGCCCTTCATATCGATGGATTCAAGGGGGACTCTTAATGGGGACCCTGTGAATCATGGGGGAACAAACCCTAAACCCTAAACCCTATCTAGGTGTATATGCAAGGGTTTATGTTTGGAAATTGAATGGCTTTATACATGGTCCATGTTACGGTCACCCTAAAGGCTGTACATGGAGTCTACAGGGCTCTGTGGGGACCTCATAGAGACTTCGGGATGCAAGGAAGGTCTGCGGGCAGGTTCATGGGTGGACTTGTTTCTCGATATTTCTTTTGGGTGATTTTGTTTTTGGGTTGGGGGGGGGCCGCAGTATAGAAGGACACGGTACGTAAAGAACATGTTTAGGCAAGATGTACGGACTTTCCACGCAAGAGTTCAATGTGGATGCAAAATGTGAGGCCGATCCATACGAGAGCTCGATTTCGAGGCAGAATGCCAGGATCCTCCACGCCAGAGCTTGATTCTGACGCAAAAAGTGAGGATGCCTTGCGTGAGAGCGTGAGGATGTTTTCAAGCAAATTGCCAAGATGCTCCATGCGAAAGCTCGACTTCAAAGCAACATTGTGTGGACTTCCCAGGCAAAAGCTCCATTTCAAAGCAGAATGTGCTAGCCTTCCAGGCCGGAATTTGATTCTGAGGCATAATGTGTGCACGTATCGAGCGAGTGCCTTAAAGCGACCTCCTGAAGCCCATTAATTGCAGAAGCTTCGACGAAAACGAAAACATGTAGCTCCCTACTCGGTCTAACGCTCTCCCAAGCAGTCTGTTCTGCTTTTACGGGCCGAGCCGGCGGGGTTTGGGGGGGGGTCCAGACCCCCTCATTCGTAGCAACACGGACGAACATGAAAACATGTAGCTGTTTGCTTAGTCTAACAACTTTTTCTAGAAGCAGTCCGTTCCATGTTGAAAGCAAAAACTTTGTAATCACATGGCGCTGCGTACCTCAGAGCTTGCTAGTTATGGTCTTCTGGAATGCGAAACTTTTGTCTTTTTCGAATGATCAAACGCACTTCGAGAAGAGACACGCAAAGAAGCCACAAAGCTCGTGATAGAGAAGCCAGAAGATCAGGAAGCTTCAGAAAGCCAAAGGAGCCAAGAAGCAAGAAAGCGTAGAAGCCAGAAAGTTAAGAAGTCAAGAGGCCAAGACACAGACAAACAAGAAGCCAAACAAACAGAAGCCAAAAAGCCAAGAATGCCCACCGCTAAGAAGCCCCAAAACCCAAAACCAATCAGCAAAATGTGAGGACTCTTCACGCAAGAGGCGACGCTAAAAGAAGCTCCACACTGGAGCCACTTGACAACAAAACCGCCTCCCCCCCAAAAGAGTCTCCCAAAAGGAGGCCCTCGGGTTTATCATGTCAAGTCGCCATACAAATACGCAGTCTACTTGCTGGGTCAGGTTATATCTATATTGAGGAAGTCTCCATGACCCTCCAAGCATACTTCTGTGGGAAGGTTTGGGCATTCCAGAAGGAACGCTAAAACCTCAGTCTAGGCATGATTTCATGAGCTGGGTCCAACGCCTGAGCGTTTAAAACAGCCCGTCTTATGCGGGCAAATGAAAACAAGACCCGAAAGAAACTGAGTCTAGGCTTTATACCCAAGGGGTCCATGCAGTGTCCAAAGGAGTCCCATATACCTACTGTTGGGCACAGGCATATACTATAGAGCTACATGCACCATTTGGGATTATGTTTAGGTCTGGGAGCCTCTTCCTTCATACATTTACTGCCTCACTCAGGATGCCCGAACAACGCTCACGGACGGTACGGCCTACAAGAACTCTAAACCCACAACAAAAGCTGAAAGACTTTGTCCTGGGAAGCCAACTCCAGTTTACGCATAATTGCCTAAGCTCGGGAAAGGGACCCTTGGGAGCTACAAGGCTACCTGAAGAAGGGAGACATTTTGAAAACAGCAGTGGCTAGATGATGCCAAGAAAACTCATTGCCACCGATCCGTTCTCGCAACTCGAGCCTTTAGTCCCAGTCCTACTCACTTTCCCTAGCCTTATAATCCCCACTCATTGGAGACAGCTTGACCAACATAAT